AGATATATTAAAAATAAAGTGACGATCAATAAGAATTTACAATCATAAATATGAGTATAAAGATAAACATTTGAAATTTCATGAGAACATATTAATATTTACAATAATTAAATATTTATAAATTCTAAATTATTTTATACCTTAGATTTCTTAAAAGGTAAATTGAAATTTTTTAAACAATCTTAAAAATGAGAACTCGGATTTACTTGAGTATTTTGATTATTTATCTATTAAGTTCCATAAACATAAAAAACATAAAATTAAAAAGCAAACTATATATTAAAAAGAATTTTTACTAATGATAAAATATTATATTTTCATTTCATTAATAGTGTATAGTGCTACGCTATTTAAAAAAATTTGAAATTATTTGATCAAAATATTTATGTGTTAAAAAAATTATTTTATTTTTTAATATCTCTTAAATAAACACTAAAAATGTTTTTTTATGAAAATGTCGAAAAAATATTTAATTTCGTTTATATATAAACATTTTTATTTCAGAAATATTTCTTTTTTTTGTATATGTGTGTTTAAAAAGTAAACATAAATTAAAAAATTAAGTAAAATCTTATTATGAGAAAAGGAAATACATTATTAATATCAATCTTATTAATTTTTTGTTTATTAAGAGTATCTATGTAATTAACCATCGTGAGAGTTAACGCGAGCGCGACACGTAGGAAACTGACTTCTCAAATAATATTATAGAGATATGTAATTTGACCGACAGAAATTGAAGTGGTAAGAAACAACTCTCATTATTTTATGTAACCGATGATGAAAAAGAGTAACTGATGATGAAAGTGAAATTTGGATTTATTAGAGATTATCTCTTTTTTTTTTGTAATGATATCAATACATGTCTTTAGCAATAGAATTTAGACTAGAGGTTATGTGGTTGATGTTTGATTACATTTGGATATATTAGAATTCTCATCACTTTATTTATAGTTTTGGATTCTACTGTAAACAACTAAAGATGGTTCTGTAGCGTTTAAAGTCTAAGATCTACCACCTAACAATTGTCTTCTTTTTGTCAAATGTATGATATTTACCAGTACATAAATATATTTGCTTGCCGAAAAGTGAAAACTGAAAAGATTATCGTTTAGTAAGATTTAAGATGATATTTGTTCCAGACTGCGTGTAATGACATACTATATATACTACTAGGGCTGATTAGTTGAAATTTTAATTATATATGTTATATGTTATTTTGATATATAAATATTATAATATATTATAAAATATAGGTAGTTAGACAATTATATAATTATTTTTTAATTATTTATTGTTTTTAGTCTTTTGAATTTTAATATCAAAATTTTCTATGTCATAGATTATTTGTATGTGTTTTGCATAGAATTATTGTGTATTGTGGTTCGTTTCGACTTTTTTCTTTATTTGTTGTGTGTTATTATTTTATTTTCAATTTTTTTGTAGAATTTTTTTTTTGATTATTTACTACTCATTGTTTACTATTTTTTTTTTTATAATTATTCTAATTTGATCTTATTTACCTAAAATCGAAAGAAAATTTAGTGTGTGCATCTTTTTTTTCTTAGGTATGATGAAACGTAAAAGAAAACAATATGATAATAGATTTTTCGTCTTTCAAAACTTATAGACTTCTTTATTTATTTTGAATATATTTAAGTATTCTGTAACTTTTACTTAACTATTAAATCTTTATTAAATTTTTTAATAAACACATGAAAAAAACTTTTCATTAAACTCAAGTTATATTACATAGCAAAATTAAATTTTAATTAGTTTATTTTTATATCTTATTAGTTCTTGGCTTTTAAATTATTTTAGTTATGTATTAATTGTTAATTATTTTTATATCATTTTGTATTCTAGGTTAACCGTAAATTTGGTAATAAAAAGAAACAAAAAAAACTGTGAGATTTAGTATTTTTAATTTCGTTGGTATAAATCTAATGAAATGTATAAAGATTGATAGCGAAAATTGATTTATCCTCTTTCTCATTAATTTTATTTATTATAATTACAAATTTATTTGTTTAATTATATTATATATTTTTCCTAAATGATTATTTTTATTATGATTATATTAATTTTATTTATTATAATTATAAATTTATTTTTTAATTATATTAAATATTTTCACTAAATGATTATTTTTTAAAACATGAAGTGAACCCTAAATACAGCCACCGAAACTTTCAAACAATTTAATTATAATGATTTAGAAGTAAATGACATGTTTACTTAAACATTTCACAATCTCTATCAAAATTTGATGTCCGTTTATATTTTGGACATTTTTATTTTTATCGACTGTCAAACATATTTTGTAATATTATATTATTTTTAGTATTATAATGTTTTATGTTTTGTTTGTTTTTCATAAAAGCACATAGTTATTTTTATGTGTCCGATTATTTTTTACGCAGTAATTGATATAAGTTTAGTGTGTATACAATATTATTTTTCACAACAACATACAATATAATTTATGTGAGAATATTTTTATTTGTGTGATGTGTTTATTTCTTTTGATTTAGTTTGTATTCTGATTTTTTTTCCTGTATATTTAATGTATATTAATTCATAATGTGCTACTATTAAAAATCTGGTGATACACACACATAAATATATATATATATATATTCAAAATTAGTGAGTATCTGATTTTTCTTAATTTATTGAAAATAGGAATATCATTAAATTTCACAATTTTTATTTTTTGATTTTATTATATAAGTAATTTCTAACATTTGTCTATATTGATAAATAAAATATCTACGAATATAAATTATGGATTATTTTCAGCCAATTTATGTGGGAATCTTTGTATTTATTTTAGATGTTTATTCCTTTTGATTTAATTTGTATTCTTATTTTTCTCCTTGTATATTTAATGCATATTAATTTCTAATGTGCTACTATAAAAAATCTAGTCATATACACACATAAAAATATATATATATATATATTCAAATTTAGTGAGTATCTGATTTTTTTAATTTATTGAAAATAAAAATAACATTAAGTTTCTCTATTTATATTTTTTATTTTATTAATAATATTTTTCCCTATTTATAATTTGTTATTTTATTATATCAGTAAATTCTAACATTTGTCAATGTTGATAAAATAAAATATCTAAGAATATAAATTATGGATTATTTTCAGCTTTATATTTTTTTTTTGAATTCATGGATACTATGATTTTTTTAATATATTTTTATCTCAAAATAAAAAGATTCATACTTTTTTAAAAAAATTGATAAATGCATTCACATAAATAATCCTTGGGTTAATATTAAACATTATTTTTTGTAATAATAATTTTACATGCCATGTGTCATTTTCTCTTCATCCTATTTAGTGACATGGCATCATAAGAGGGAAGAAAGCCCTTCTATATATAATAAGATTTCTAATGTGCTACTATTAAAAATCTAGTCATATACACACATAAAAAAAAAAAAAAAATATATATATATATATATATATTCAAATTTAGTGAGTATCTGATTTTTTAATTTATTGAAAATAAAAATAACATTAAATTTCACTATTTATAATTTGTTATTTTATTATATCAGTAAATTCTAACATTTGTCAATGTTGATAAAATAAAATATCTAAGAATATAAATTATGGATTATTTTCAGCTTTATATTTTTTTTTTAATTCATGGATACTATGATTTTCTTAATATATTTTTATCTCAAAATAAAAAGATCCATACTTTTTTAAAAAAAAATTGATAAATGCATTCACATAAATAAGCCTTGGTTAATATTAAACATTTTTTATTATTATATAATAAGATTTCTAATGTGCTACTATTAAAAATCTAGTCATATACACACATAAAAAAAAAAAATATATATATATATATATATATATATATATATTCAAATTTAGTGAGTATCTGATTTTTTTAATTTATTGAAAATAAAAATAACATTAAATTTCACTATTTATATTTTGTTATTTTATTAATAATATTTTTCACTATTTATAATTTGTTATTTTATTATATCAGTAAATTCTAACATTTGTCAATGTTGATAAAATAAAATATCTAAGAATATAAATTATGGATTATTTTCAGCTTTATATTTTTTTTTTAATTCATGGATACTATGATTTTTTTAATATATTTTTATCTCAAAATAAAAAGATCCATACTTTTTTAAAAAAATTGATAAATGCATTCACATAAAT